AAACTAAAGATAAACTTGAGAAGGATGGGCATCCCAAAACACTACATTGTGCTCATGAGGAACCTGGATATGGATCAAGAGGCAGTTGTGCAAACAGAACAAGGAAATGATACACAGTTTAAATTAGAAAAGATGCGTATCAGGGTTGTATTCTCTCACTATACTTATTCAATCTGTATGCTGAGCAAATGATCAGAGAAGGAAGATTATAAGAAGAATAATTTGGCGTCAGGATTGAAGGAAGGTTCATTAACCTGTGACATGGAGATGACACAGTCTTGCTTGCTCAAAACACTTGCTGATGAAGATCAAGGACTGCAGCTTTCATTATTATGACTCAATGTAAGGTAGACCAAAATCCTCACGACTGGACCAATAAGTAACATCATGGTAAACAGAAAAGATTTAAGTTGTTAAATATTTTGTCTCACTTGGATCCACAATCAATACCCATGGAAGCAGCAATCAAGGGATCAAAGGATGCATTTCATTGGGTAAATCTCCTGAACAAGACATCTTTAAAGTGTTGAAAAGCAAAGTTGTTACTTTGAGGGTTAAGGTGTGCTTAACCCAAAGCATATATTCAATTGCCTCATATGCATGTGAAAGTTGGACATTGATTAAGAATCTATGCATTTGAATTATGGTACTGGCAAAGAACAGTGGACTGCCAAAAGAACAAACAAACTGTCTTAGAAGACGTACAGCCAGAATTCTCCTTAGAGGCAAGGATGGAGAGGCTTGGTCGCATGTACTTTGGACACGTTGGCAAGGGAGACCAGTCCCTGGAGAAGAACATGAAGTAATGGGGCGGTGAGAAAGAGGAAGACTTTCAACAAGATGGGTTGACATCGTGGCTGCATTGAGAACAAGTGTGAAGATGGCCCAGGAGCAAGGATGGCTTCATTCCATTGTACACGTACATAGTGTTTCTCCAAGAGATTTCCAGATTAATGCAGACTAACAACAATGTACATTCATGGCTTGGACCTCAACTAAAAGGTTTTTTATTTTGCTAAAAGGATTTTATTTGGATAACTGGTTAAATCTAAGAATAGTCTGTGGATTGTATCATTTAGAGAATTATATAACAGCATTGTAATAATGCCAATGCTTTTGATAATTGGACTAGAAAGAAATACATGCTTATTTTCTATTAAATATACTTAAGTATTTAAAGATTAAGGTACAGTTCTGAAACTTATGCTCAAATGATGCAGAAAAAAAGTGTGTGTGTAAGTTCTATGTAACACACACACAAATCTAGGGGGCTTCAAACATTTCATGAGAAATGGAATTAAAAGATAATAGAGTTTTCAACACTTTTTAGACATAGCCAAACACCTTGAGGAATGTCACTGGACTTGGGGACTCAAGACTATAGTCTCAGACACCAAGGCCAATTATAATAATAATTGTCCACAATTATCAGTGTCCGCAAAGACTCTATATCCTACTTTGGCGAGTAATGCCTAGGGCAGCAGTTCTCAACCTGTGGATCGCGACCCCTTTGGGGGTCGAAGGGGTCGCCTGATTCACAATAGTAGCAAAATTATAGTTATGAAGTAGCAACAAAAATAATTTTATGGTTGGGGGGTCACCACAACATGAGGAACTGTATTAAAGGGTCGCGGCAGTAGGAAGGTTGAGAACCACTGGGGAGAATCCTCCTCATCCCCAAGGCTGCAGAGGCTGGTACAGTGATGTCAGTCGAGAGGCCCCACCTCAATTTCCAAGAACTGGAAGTCCATCAGAGAAGGCAAACCAGTTGCAGGGTCCAAAGGATGCTCTCCACTCCAGGCTAACTTCTCTTGCTTCCGACCCCTTCTTCTGAGATGGCTCACCTTACACCCAGCAGGATGGCACTCACAGCTGAATCACATAATGCAATCAGTACCATCTCCTACATCCTTATCGAGTCCCACAAGGGAAAAGTCATTTTGTGGGAATAACAAAAAAACTATAGCTAGAAAAGCCATTCACTGCACTGCACAGGGCACACGGAAATTCGGTATAAAAATTCCTTAACTTTTTGGCATATTTAAAATTATTTTTTAAATGAAAAAAAAAATCCCTCTATAATCACATACCCCACTCTAACCCTCCATACTTAAAAAACTCACTGCCATTAAGTCAAGTCTGACCCATAGTGACTCCATAGGACAGGACAGACCTACCTTTGTGGTTTTCAAGACTGTAATTCTTTACAGGAGTAGAAAGCCTCATCTTTCTCCCACATAGCTGTCTGGTTAGCAGCCAACACATAATCTCTATGTCACGAGGGCTCCATAGTATAGGCCTAATTCCATATTAACATAAAGAGTTGTCCTACCTTCTTAAAATTATACTGCTTTGCTAGTAAAATGTTTGTGTATTTGAACCAAAGAACCCAAATTCTTCCCCCATAATCTCTGATGTAAAAGTATTTAAGTCAGCAAGCTAAGACCACTGAAAAGCAGATCGCATGTAGTCACAAAAAGAGCAGCATCAAGCTTTGTTAAAGCCCTCTCCTTCTAGGCTATGGTGGATACTATATCTCCATGATTGGAGTATTTAATTACTAGCTGAAAAGGATCTGCATAAGTTACCACCTATGTGCCCCTCTCAGACAAAGCTGTTACCTGCTGGGATTTTGTTTTCTTTAATAGTGTAGTTTTACAAGGCCACATTATTGGTTAAAACTTGTAAAAAGGACTGTAGGTGGAATTGGAAGACTGATGAGTTACAGCTTGCTTGACATCAGGATATGCACTTCTGTCCTTCCTCAAGCCTTTGTATTGCATCCTTTACCATTGCCATATACCCGATTCTGACTCAAAGCAAGCCTAGAGGACAAGTAGAACTGCCCTATATAGTTTCTAAGGCTGCAAATGTCGACAGAAGCAGACTGCCACATTTTTCTCTGTTGGAGCAACTGGTAGGTTCAAACTGCTGGTTGTCAGTTAGCAGCTGAGACTCTTTCACTTACTTCATTTACCTTTCCATGGGACTTACTAACTCCCAAACCAGAAACACTGCCATCAAGTCAGTTCCCACTAACAGAGACCTTCTATAGGGTTTTGAGGGTGTAAAATGTTATGGGAACAGATAGCCTCGTTCTTCAGAGCAGCTAGTGGACTTGAACTGCCATCCTTGTGGTTAACAGCGCAATACTTACCCAGCATTGCCACCAGTTTCTTAACAACTTTGTTTAATATAAACTCGGAGTGGTGGTGTTTATTGCTAAGTGCTGTCAAGTCAGCACCAACTTATAGTGAAGGAGACACAACCCCGTCGTCGGTCCTCTTCACAACATCGCCATGTCGCAGCCACCAGTGCAGGTCTGTGTCAATCCTCTTCCTCTTTGTCACGGACTCTCTACCAAGCACGATGTCCTTTGCTAGGGACTGGCTTCTCCTGATGACTTGTCTGCAACACGAGGGAAAATCGCACCTCCTCACTTTTAAGGAGCATGCTGACTGCAGCAGTACTTCTTCTATGACAGATTTGTTCGTTCTTAAGGCAGTTCATGGCAATCCCAATATTCTCCAACACCACCATAATGAAACGCATTTTCCCAGTCTTCCTTATTCACTGTCCAACTTTGATATTAGGAGGAAATTTTAAACACCGTGATTTAGGCCAGGCACACCCTGCTCTTTAACAGTAAAGATGTCATATGCAGTAGATTTGCCCAATATGTCATTTGATTTTTTGACTGGTGCTTAATTTCTTGTCTGTGAGAGTTGACTGTGGATCCAAGTGAAATGAAATCCTTACCAACTTTAGTCTTTCATCTGTTTATCATAATGCTTTCTATCGGTTCAGTGGGAAAGATTTTGGTTTTCTTTATATTGAGTTGCAATCCATACTGAAAGCAGTATTCTTTGATTCTCATGGGGAAGTGCTTCAAGTCCTCCATAATTTTAGCATGCAAAGCTGTGTCCTCTGCACATCCCAGATTGTTAACAAGCCTTCCTCCAAACTTGATGCCACGTTCTTCTTCATATAGTCCAGTTTCTGGACTATGACTTGCTCAGCATGCAGACTGAATAAGGATGGTGAAAGTACACAACCCTGATGTATACTTTTACTGATTTTAAGCCACAAAGTATCCCTTGGTTCATTCAAACGATTGCCTTTTGTTTTATGTACAGGTTCCACCTGTGCAAAATAAAGTGTTCTAGAATTCCCAATCTTCATAATGATATCCATAGTTTGTCTTTGCATAGGCAATAAAACACAAGTAAAATATTTATGGTATTCTGTACTTTCAGACAGCTCCATTTGTCATCAACAATGATGCCATACCACATCCGCTTCTGAATCCAGCTTAAATTTCAGGCAGCTCTCTATCGACATGCTACTGTAACCATTTTTTTAATCTTCAGCAGAATTCCATTTGCATGTGTTATTGTTGTCATGCAAAACTCTTTATTTAGGTTTAATAATTTGACAGAAACTTTAGGTGGCAATACCCCATCTTATTAGCATAAGACAACTATCTGCTAGCAGTGTACAGGTAGAACATAGCTAGCCTACACGCTGCTACATCACTGAGATGTAAGACTGCACCAGCCTGAAACCACCTTCCATGTCATAGGACTTTCTAGAGAAGGCATGAAAGCCAAAATACAGTGGTAAATATTATACCAGTTTTTCTTCAAATATCTAAACAAGCCTATTGACCTGACCATATGACAAGAAGGGATTTTAGTTTAATTCTATTTCTAATGTAAATTAGTAATACTAAGTCAACAATAGAATTACATCCCTAGCCCAAAGTAAGAACTTCAGTTCTGTACAATTGTTTTTACAAGAGTGATTTTCATAGAAAAAAAAATTTATTCTTCAATGTACAATTATTTTCTGGACCCAGACATGTATAAGATAATGGACAGCCTTTCATGTGCCACTTAAATTGACAAAGTATTCCTAAGCTGGCATGATGAACAAGTCGAAAAGGCCGGTGGTTCTGTAAGGCCTTCTGGTGTCCCTAGCCCTCCCCGTGAGGTACATACTTTTCATCTGTCAACTTCTCAGCTGTAAACTCTGTCTGCTTCTCAGTCTCAAAGGATCGGGATTCCCTGGAGGATCTCCGCTCTGCTCTATCCAGCGCCGCCTCTGGCCCCCAGCTATCATTCCATCCTGGCTGCTCCCCTCTTCTAGTAGTTCGCTTCTGACCTACCATCAGAAAATCAAAGGCGAGAGCTGGAACACAGGTCTTTAGAGCTGCAGATTATTAACCATTACAGGCACTAGTAGTTCTCACTTTTCTAGATGACGGTATCATAGAAAAGCCCATGTAACTTGGAAAAGTACAATGGAGAAAAAAGAAAGTTGCCATTAACCTAGCTAGTGTCAAATCCATTGCTATTGAGTTAATTCCAAAGCAGAGTGCCTTGTGGGGCAGAGAACTGCCTCATGGGCAATAAATCTTTAGCAGACTGCCACGTCATTCTCCCATAACTGGTGGGTTCAAACATTGACCTTTCAGTTAGCAGCTGAGTGCACCACAAAGGCTCCTCGCGGAATCAACTACTGCTTACAAAAACTTATAGTTACCATCAAATCACATATTTTCCTACAGTCTACAAAGTTGATAATATAAAACCTAACATAATTTCAGACATCTCAAAATGATCATGTCTCAGGGCTTGAATTTTGCTAAATTAACCATATTTTTCAAAAACCACTTTATCAAAATTTGGCAGCAAAGCCACATCTAGAAAATTAAAGGATCAAAACTATGTATTTCAGAATTCCAATTGCATATAAACCAGGGGCAATTTTATAGTCTAGGTGTTTTTTTCCCCTTAACCTGTTTTTTCGCCCTCGTGGCACTGGACTGCTAACCCAGGGTGGCAGTTCAAACCCACCAGCTGATCTGAAAGAGAAAAATGAGACCACCTAGTCCTGTCTGTATAATCTTGGAAATCCTGAGATGGAATCCCCTTGATAGGCTTTTTGTCACATCTTTTTCTTTTGAAAACAGATTTTCCTATTGTTTCTTTCGTGAAATTTACATTTACATATTCTCAAATATCAGCCAAAACTGATACATGCCAACTCACACAAGAGCCAGCGGTTGGAGAGGACACTGAGGACAGGCAGGGTTTGAGGACACGAGTCTTTCTCTATTGCTCCTCTCACCTTACTCTACTTCCTTTTAGCTTTCATACTTTAAGAACTTTTAAGCAGAGTCTGTTTGAAGTCATCTAATACTGGGTAGATAAGACTATGGGTTTCATTACTTTTTACATCATGTTCCAAAATTGTCCTTTTATCTTTTTATAGACAGAAAATGTTAAAACGTACAAGTTTTTCCATTTAAAATATTATCTTCCATTTTTATTTTAGCCGCTTCTAGTTTATGTAGGTTGTTTGGTTTTGGTATAAATTACTATCCCCATTGGTGACATGGTTATAAAAATATTAAATGCATATAAGTGATTGGATATATATTTTTTACTAGATTCCTCTCCCACTGAGAAAGATACACCTATATACGGTTCTTATGGAATGTATCTTTATGTATATTTTTGTTTCCCTATTTAGTTTCTACCTAAGTTTTATAAATTGGGTTCAAGAAAACATTAACAAAGCTCCAAAACTTTATTGGGCTCATTTTTTTAGCAGAAATCATGCATGTAACATCACTAAAATAAAATAGTGCAATTTGTGACTCAGTAAACATAATTTTCCAGATGTGAAATAGTAACAAAATATTAGTTATATTGAAATATGTTGTATAACAGATATAAATCCAATCTTCTATGGTTTTAGTGTCTCATAACTTAGCATTTTTAAAATCTGACTTATATTCTATAATGAGAACACAATTTGAGCTGGTGACATATTTAGGATGTGAAAAAGATGTTTTCATATTGAGGAGCATTATGTTTTTATTCCAGAAACATCAAGACAGAGATTGAAAATCTTATCCACAAGAGTATGCAATGTCAGATCTGTTGGTACATATTTCACTAATACATATCAAAATTGGAAGAAGTGTTTATGGTAGAAAATGTGAAAGTTATGTCATTATGAAAAAAGTCAACAAACTGGAAATGATACTAAATGATCAGATAACAATCGTCAACTAATATGCTAACTATAACACTAATTTTCAATACTTTGCTTATTTTTTAATTACAATTTAAAATATGACATTTACTGCCTACTCTCTACCATAGCCTGTTCCAAAATGTTGGGATTAATTGAAAAGCTGGTCAATACATTTGGCTGTTTATTAGAATAATTTAAATCATCAATTCCTTAAAAGCATTTCATTCTCTCTAAACTACAAAAAAAGAAAACAGGTTGACTTTTTCCCTCTCATAATCAATTAGTGTAAGAACTCAAGATGAAAACTGAAGTTGGCTTGTTCCAAGATCAGCCACTCCAAGAGGATACTCCACTGTATTTCACTCACCCACTGCTTCTGACTCATAGCAACCTACTACTTCGTAATCAGTAGGGGCATAACTAGTTCCATCTCAGATTTCAGCTCAAACCCATATTCTATCTAGAATATCATTAATTTTACAATGAGGTTCCTATAAAACACAGATGAAGCTTTGGCTTAAAGAACATAATTCTGAAAGGTTAGGAAAGCAAGCTGACACAGGTTCTGGTGACATATTTAGCAAGGGCGTGTGTCCATTGTTAGATTGATACTTAAGGATATTAAAAGCCTATGTTTCCATGGGGAAAATTAGGCTTTCCACATCCACTAAGGATTAATAAATGTTCCTAAACTCTGCTGTATATATTTAGATGTTAATTCTCCACAAGAAGCACCACTTATAATACTCGAATTAAATTTTAAAATCTGAGTTAGAAAAATATATTAGTGCTAAAAAGCTTTGAGACAGTTACTCTCTAACACCTATTACAGATATATGTAAGTGTTAATGACTTATTTACTCCTGAAATAACACTTGGAAAAGAACTATAATGACAAAATTATAGGTACAAATTGTAATAGATTACAGTGGATGGGGAGAAAGCCAGCTGCAAGTGTTCGAATAAGAAGACAAAGTCTGTGTCATTATAGATGTCAGCTGTTAACCAATAGGGCATTTTTCATTTCATACATTCTGAATTGTATACAATTTTTATTACATGAATACAAGACATTTTACAGATTCTGAAACATCTAAGAAGGAATATATCAGTAGATAACACAATGCAGTTTCACACTATTCTAAAAGAAAGAATGTATTTTCATCTGTCAGAAACAGGGAGTAAAAAAGATTAGCCTAAGTTTTTAATTTGCCCTTAAGTAAATGCAATAGAAAAACAAGGAACAAAAAATGTACACTATATCTCAAGCTTTGTTGTTTAAAATAAGCTTATGAACGAACTTCCTAGCCAAAGGAGAAGCCTTGAGATCCAGGAGCATTTTGGGTAATTTTCAACAGCTTTAGTATAGTGATTTTCCGATTCTCAAACGGTATTTATGGAGCTGAACTTTCCACAAAACACACACACAAACCAAACTCACCACCATGAAGTAGATTCCTACAGGACAGAGTAGAATTGACCCTGTGGGTCTTGAGGCTGTAAATCCTCCTGGGAGCAGAAAGCCTCAAGGTTCTCCCTTAGAGCTCCTGGTGGGCTCACACTGCTGATCTTGTGATTAGCAGCTCAATTAGTGACCTATTGTACCACCGGGGCTCAAAGGTTAAATCACTACCTTGTTCCACAAGTCAAAGCCTTGAGATTTAAGCCAGGAGGTGCTGTCTCAGGGCTAAGAGGAACACTTTTTGTGTAGCCCAAGGAAGAAACCAATAAACTGAGTTCAATACACTGCCAAGCTATGGCTAGGAAAGCCAAACTACACATCTCAATCTTAAACAGACTGACTATGGCCTCTCAGTGAAACAGGAAACAGGTGAAGTGCTGCGGATCAGGTCAATTACCTCAGTTGTAGGGGAAGAACCGACCTAAGTGCACTCCTTGTATGCATACAGTATTGCACCAAGATTTGCAACGGCCCTTCTTCATAAACAGGGTGTACGAATTCCTGAATATTGTTGAAAAGGTTCAAAAAATTATCTTAAAGCAGACTTCGTTTACTTATAAGCTACACATCCCATCAACACTAAGGGGGGCATTGAAAACTGATGCCTGCCGACTATTGGGGGCTTGTTTACAAGGATGGATTAAAGGAACAGTGCTTGCAATGAACTGGGGCTCCCGGCAGACACCTCCACTAGCAAGCGTCCGCAGCTCTTACGTCACAGCCTCATCCCACGCGGTCACCAGGCCTTTCCTTCATCACAGAGGCCTGGCGACGGGTCACCCGAACCTATGAACCATTTTTCACACACCTCGGTCTCTGACCACCACCTCCAATGGGCAGGGTGCTCCCCTCCCCCTATCCTATCACAATTCCTTGGCTTCCAGAGTCCAATCTTGTAGAGGTTGGACTCTGCGGGATCTGAATTGAGACCCCCGTCGGGGTAGTAGCTCACACACCACCCCAGCAATATTCTTTAGCTTTGTCCAACCTGATCTAAGGGCTCAGATTGCAGTTAGGTAGACTCACTACTTACTACCTCCATCCTCCCCCCCCAA